CTGGTGAGACCCAAGCATCTGTAATCACGGACAACACCCCAAAAACCACGAGGATCGGACCAACCAGATCAAAATATTCAGCATTTTGGACAGGATGTACCATCCACATTCAATCATTCAGGGCTATAAAATATTCACTTAAAAACTTCTAATATGAATTAATCATAAGTGTGTGAACATGCTCAAAAAACAGGGGGCAAACAAATGTTACGAAACAGTCCTAACACTGAGACATTTCTTGAATAAAATCCCACATGCACAAATATCAGCACTTACCAGGAAACTGCTATAAGCTCCTTGACAGTGTTTGGATATTCTTAATATGTCCACGAATTAAAATAATCATATTTTAAAAAATACAAAATAATGAATCAGTTGTAAGCAAAGAAAAGTCGTTCTTTAAGACGCAAAGCCACTGACAACAGCAACAAGACTAGCTGGTGCAGGCAGTCACGGCGAGATGCTACAATAACAGCATCCCCTTTTCAGGAAAGGATGGATAAAGGAGGGACTGACAAGCGTACTGGAGAAATGGAGGCAGGAGGGGAGGAGGGGCACTATGGAGCATGCTCGCTGAAAATCCCTGGGTATTTACGTGTCACATGACCTGCTCTGAGCTGTCAATCATCGCTGGTTGGAAAATGAAGGGAGGGAAGGAGCAAGAGAGAGAAGGAGAGATGGATAGGGGACCATTATGTTGATGGGTACAGTGGGGAGCGGTGGGTGACGCTTTCACAGCTGCTTCTATTTTCTGTTTAATTAAAAAAAGAGGGAGCAATGAAACTGTAATCTCTCACAAACCCACCCCCAGGCAAGAAGCCCACCAATGGCACTCGTGATTCCGGCTTAGAGCCGTGGATTAACCCCTTATAAACTGAGAATCAAGCACACCTACACACGCACTTTCGGTTTCCATGTTTCATGGGGACTTTCCATAGACGTAATGATTTTTATGTACAAACCGTATATTTTATCCCCTAACCCTAAACCTACTCATCACAAAAAACGTTCTGCATGTTTTTGATTTTCAAAAATAATCATTTATGTGTCCACATAACGTAGGGAATACGTGAATAATTAAGTAAACAGTAATAGTTAAGAAAACCTAAATGAAAATGATAAATATTGCTAAAAATAAGTAGTACTAAAATTACTAAAACTTAAACTAATATTAGAATAAAAGCTGAACATATACTGTAAGCTAACACACGCACCTGCATATGGGTAGTTAATGTTTCTTTCAATATTTAAAAATATATATTTTATATATGGGAAGGAGTATATCACTGATTGATTTTGCCTTCATTAAAACATTTTGAATGGTTTTCTACTTTTTAAAACAAAATATTTAATGTAGCATCTCTATTAATATGAACTCAAACACACACACACACACACACACACACACACACACACACACACACACACACACACACACACACACACACACACATATATATATATATACACACATATATATAATTGCACATCTGATTATGTACATGTAACTTGAGTATATGAAAATAACTTGTTTTCCATATTGCATTAATGCAGTGGCTACATGTTACTTTAATTGCACTGCATCAAAAAAATGACAATAAATACGTTTATGTTATTATTTCTATTTTTAAATACACGCACAAAAATATTAGGCCGCATAACTGTTAACAATAATTAAATTGAGAAAAATAAACATTGACAAAAAATTATAGATGGCTGCTAAAAATTCAGCTTTGCCATCACAGGAATAAATAACATTTTCAAATATATTTAAATAGAAATAAATCTTACAATATATATATTATTGTTTCTTGAGCACAGTAAGCTGAGTGTCAGTGGCAGGTGATGGTTCTCACATTTCATCTGCTGAATCTTCAGCTGGATTTAATCTAATTCCTAACATTCCACAGACTCACAACTGCAGCAGACAGACACACCTCTAGCTCACACAAGCATCAACAGATACAGAAGATTACTGCAATTACATTGTATGTTGCTTCTTGTAGGCCAGACAAGCCTAAACACTTAAAGCAACGGCTGAAAGAGTCTATTGCAAATACTTGTCTTATTCCAGTAGTAATTCAGAACTGGAACTCAAGTATAGGGTGACTGATAGTTTAGATAACATTTTATTGTTTCATAAACCATCCAAAACAGCAACAAATGCTTCTACAAAAATACTATAAAAGTGGTCCTTTGTCACATCTTGTTCTTTTTTAAAACACTTTTATCACTCCTTATAAAACTAAAACAATTGGTATACAGCGGCATCTAGTGATAAACTGTAAACAGTGTTCTCTATGGACAATTCTACACAGCGCCCTCTAGTGAGAACGGCATAATGTGCTCTTTAATTACATATAATACACAGCGCCCTCTACAGACTGATAAAAAGCAAAAGCGAGCTTAAAATGTTTTCCGTCTATGGTTTTCTCTCATATATTTTTTGCATACTGTCCTGTCGAGCAAGTCTTCTCTCTAAACATGCAGTCACTAAAACAGTCAAAGAAAAAATAATAGCCTGGAAAAATATGTACAAATGTACAAAATGTAAATATTGACTTTTAGTATTCTAAATGAAAATAGAAGGAAAAAGACTCCTGTTTGAACAAAGAACCTGTTTGGTCTAAAATCTATTCAATAAAAAAGAAGAATAGAACATATGCTGCTATCAAACATTTGGTGTATTGTTTGTCACGTTCAATGTTTTATTAAGTTCCTGAATAGATTAAGACGTCTTGGCAATGGGAAAAAATGCATTTTAGTTTGGTTTATCCGTGGACGTATATTGGCTGGACACTTGCAGTATTTTTAAACTGGATAAAGTAAACACCATGCCTAAAATGAACATATAATCATCATTGCTCTTAGGCCTCCCGTTTCTGCAAAGCCGTTCCCACATTCCTGTTAGTTACTTTCAAATAATCCGCAGTTCTACTGCAAACTCTCCCTGTAAACACTTTATATAACTCTTGAGAGCTCGCACACTTCTCATTGTCCTGTCAATACACCAACATGGAGCTAATAAAGACTCTAAACTAAATGCTGTAGGTTTTTACTCATTGTAAAATATAGGACTATGTCACAAAATATTAGTCACAATACAAAATACCAAATAATAACACCACAAAAAGTAAATATAACGGAACAAGAAAGAGTCTAAAATCGAAAAGGGTTTATGAATAACTTATCTTGAAACACTCCTGACAGACTGAGAAGATCACATCCCATTATGCTGTCGTCCAGCCAAAGAATCTGTTGTCATGTGGATGAAATGATGGCGTCTTCAGGATAACATTATTCCGTCGAGTACATGAATCCACAACACGATTAGGACTCAGTGCTGAATGATGATGTCGAGATTGGAATACTAGCAAACCACAGCACTTCTGACTACTGTGCACTATAGGCCTATCCTGCCAATACCAACTACTTTAGTACATGAAAGTAGAATGTGAAACAGTAGGCATTATTCACAATCCAAATTTTAAACAGTAGTGTGCTACCTTGTCACATGGATGTACAGAAATAAATGTGGTCATTTTAAATCCAGTTTTGTAGAAAAACGTCTCAACGTGTGACAATCAAATAATGAGGCATAAATAATGGCTTATATATAACAAATATTACTTCCAGTTCATTTGGGAAATGGAAGGTCAAGCACTTTGCATTGTAGGATTTAGTGTTGTACAAAGTAGGCTATACTTACAATATACTGCAACAACAATAATAGCAGGATGCTTTTTCATACTGTCATAGCCAGCTTTCATATGTAGTAGACAGCAAGAAAGTTCCATTTTCTATTAGTCTAAACCAACACACATTTGATGTTTTAATTTTATAACTTTTTCTTTCAAAATGTGTTACCTCTTTGAAAATAGACAGGTCATGCCAAGGTATACCAAAGTTTGTGTGATTTGATGCAGTATAGTGCAAAAAAAGAAGAAAACCATAAAACGAGTACACAAGTCATTTTTTCGGCTTTACTTTTTATTGATTGTTAATTAAATTATCACTAGTCTTTCATCACAAACGCCATAACAGATGCTGAAATGCTAAAATGTATTACAAAAATAAAATGCTTTTATGTTAATTATACTGATTAACAAATTACCTTTATGCTTCAACATCAAGCATATTATATATCAGATCAAAACCATGCATTTTGTCCCTGCATTTCACCTTTATAGTCAAGATTTTATGTTAGTCACAGCTGCCACAGTTCAAAGCACAGAGAAAAACCCCATTACACGACAGTGATTTCCACAGATTAAGTTAAATGGTTGTGTCCACTAAATAGTGATGGGGAAAAGAATATCTTTCCATTTAGGATCATGCAAATACATTGCACTAAGGCCCACGTCCATATATCTCCACTCAAACACAGGAACAGACACTGATAAAAGCATTGCTCAGCTCTGGCAAAATACCACTAGGTCTAATGTCGGTTATGAGTGCGATTACGGTACTCTGGGGGATTGTTCACCCGGTGCGCCCCTGTAGCATCAAACACTGAGGCCTGGCTTCATGATCCTTTGCAGAGCAGAAGAACGTTATCTTTGGCTTTGAGTTTGTAAGAAGGCCTGCAAGACGAAAACAACAGGGATTGGAAAGCTAACCACTTTCCCTCCAGAATACTTTTGCACTAATACAGTTCTAAGAGAAAGATGAACATCAATTTAGTGTCGCCTCATGAGGTGAAGTTAGTGCACTCGTGTGTATTGTTCGTGCATCACTAAACCAAGTCAAATAAATCATTAAATCAACTTTCCAATAGGCATGAGAAAAAACCCTGAAGTAGATAAAATTGTAATTTTGAAACTTTTAGTGTTCAGCACTGAGTGGGAATCCTGCGATTAAACGGATGTGTTAAACATTTTGTTTTTCTCCTTCAAATTAAACTATTGTAATAAGGGCTAGAAAGGGCAGTGTGACTTGTATGAAAGAAAAAAACTAAACAAAATGCATATTTCCAAAATCCACACGACAATCAGCGCAAAACATGAGTGAGGTGACTTTCCCTGGCAGGAACCATGGAGTTCCTTGGACTTGTGACTTGTGAGCCCTTTGAACATTTAAGGGCCTCCTGATGCCCTGAATTAAACTATTGATATATATAGATATATATTATTTCTTATTCATTGTTTACACTTACTGCCAAACAACAAACAAAGCTTTTGATTAGCTAGTACTGTAGAGTCTTTGAAAAATGTCCAGGCGGAAAGTAGGAGAAAGGCAGAAGCTGATAGTCTCTTCAACTTCCTGTACACGGCGCTGAAAACGACAGCGGTCCCGGGCGATTTCCTCCCAGGGCCCATGGCGGTCCTCATCGCTGCTGGCATAGAACTCCTCGACCTCTTCCATAAATGTCACCTGTGAAAGGAATAAACAAAACAAAACTGAGTATAATAAAATGTCATCTATTGTTCAACAAGTTGTAGAAGTAGAGCATTTTTCTGTGTCATTAAAACCTGGCATCCCATGAGCGTTCTCTACATTCTTGAAAGCAAATGAGCATCAGTTACTAATAAACGAAAGGAAAAATTGACAACGTATTTGCAATTTAGACCCAATGCTCTCATTTCTGCTCCCTTTTCAGACTCATCACTTCACTGTTGCCAAGTAACACGAGATTGTGCTTAAACGGTTGAGAATTGAGATGTAATGTGAGGGAGTATGTGATTGTCCCTAACACATGTGAGTGGTTGGGAGTGCCAACACCCGCAGACCAAAGCTAATGACTCTGACTAGTGTGATGACAGAGTCATGAAATGCAGCACGCTATAAAGTGATAATGAGTAATGGGCAGCGCACGAACTCAGTCTCCCTGGAGACAGCAAAATGGAACCATTGCATCAGATCATCACAGGCAGAGGAGGGGGAAATGTTTAAAAAAAAAATTATATTGCATGGCTTTACATCATTTTCTCAAGCTAGCCTATGTTGCCATATTGACAAAGAATGAAAATAAGGCAGAATAATAGCGTGAAAGAAGATTAAGTGTTCCTAGTACCATTCATTGTATAGAATAAAAGATTATCACGCATATAACTAAATACTCTATTGTTGGTCTGATAAAGAAAATACACCATTATTCCAAATATATGAAAGGCACAATTCATACTGTATTCTCTTACTATATATTCTTATTTGACAACTATCTTGGCAAAACTATAATAAGGTTCAATTTATAAATATTGGTTAATGCATCAGGTGTCAAGAAATAACAATGGGCAACAATTTCTTATTCCAGGTTTATGTTAATGTATAAATTATTATTGTTCATTGTTAATTCATGTGGACAATTTTTCCTAGAAATGTTAAAAATCAATTGTGTAATTACCATTCAAAAGCTTGGGGTCTGAAAGATATTTTTTAAATAAATGGCATGTGCTCACTAAAGGTGTTGATACACGGGCAACTTTTTGAGCAATGTTGCCGTCAACGGGCAACCAGGAGAGACACCGCGTCCACGACCGATCTAAAGCATCCAGATAGAAATGTGTTGCTCATTCTCAATGGCAAAGTGCCCAAGCAACATCGCTTGGAAATATTGCTCAAAAAGTTAAGGCTGCATTTATTTGTACAAAGAGTAATATTGTTAAATATTATTACAATTTAAAATAACGGTTTTCTATTTTAACATATTTAATTTTTGTTTTTATTTATGTGATGGCAAAGCTGATTTTTTAGCAGCCATTACCCCATTCTTCAGTGTCACATGATCATTCAAAGAATTTAAATATGCTGATTTATTATCATCAATGTTGACAGCTGACATTTTTTAGGATCACTTAAAGAATATAAAGTTCAAAAGAACAGCATTTATTTGAAATATAAATATTTTCTAAAAACATAAAAGTCTTTACTGTATATTTTGATTCATTGTGTTCTTGCCAAATAAAAATATTAACACACTACAGTTAAAAATTTTGGGGTCGGTAAGATGTTTTTGATGGAAGTCTCTTATGTGCACTTAACGGTTGTATTTATTGAATCAAAAATACAATAAAAACAGTAATATTGTGAAATATCATTGCAATTTAAAATAACTACGCTGTTTACACTGTTAAAACTGTTTCCACAAAAATATTAAGCAGCATAACTATTTTCAACTGATAATATTAGAAATGTTTGAGCAGCAAATCAGCATAATAGAATGATTTGATTTCTAATGGATCATGTGACACTAAAGACTGCAATGATGCTGAAAATTCAGCTTTGCAATCACAGGAATTACATTTCTAAATATATTAAAATAGAACAGTTATTTTAAATTGTAATAATATCACAACTTTATTGTTTTACTGTATTTTTGATCAAACAAATGCAGCAGTGGTAAGCAAAAGAGACTTCTCTCCAAAACATAGAAATCAATATTAACTTAGATTAATAAATGTTGTAAATAAATTCATGATACCTAATGCATTAAGCAATGTTAACTAATTAACCTTATTATAAAGTGTTACTACTTTATTTTACCTACCAGTGTTTAAATCCCTTGTACCACTGCTGCAAGCACCTCAATTTCCTCCAGGAGGTCAATAAAGTCTTATCTTATCTAAAACAACTATGTTAGATATTAAAAACAAAGGTTGGGATGTCGGCTGTTTAAAATTAACTTTCCTAAGGAAATTGCTTCCTCAATCAGCAAAAATTAACTTACCAGGATATGATGAAGCATGTGTAATGATTTTAAACATTTTGGTGAACTTACAGTGTATGAACAGTCTATGACTATAAACAAAACTGCAGAAAAACTACTCTTCTAACAACCGCATGAGTCAAAGGAGTTACTGTCTCCATCTGATTCATTCTTCAATTCCAGACACAACAAGTGTTCTTAAGCCAACCACACCACCTCGCACTTTGTAAGCAAACAAAATGTTCAGAAAGATAATTATATAAGTACTTTCAGACTGGAATGTGATGCAATAATAAGCAGTCAATGTTATACAAACCTTCCTCAGCTGAACAACTGTGGCACTGCTTGAGCATGGCAAAGGGGAGATCTCTGAGAATCCGCTGTCCAGCCTGTCCTCAGCCTCCTCTCTCTTGTAGCGTGGCGTTCCAGGTGCTTTCTCCTTGCAGCAGCCTTTGAGGGTTTTCTGAGTCTGTATGGAGGCCTGGAAGTTGGAGAGGCTGTAGGGGTCTGCTGAGCAGCTAAAAGAGTTCCACAGTCTCTGATTCTCTTCCTCATCCATCTCACAGGTGTCTTCACTCGACTCGTTCTCTGAGAGCGAGGGCGACGATGGAGGCGGAGAATGCTGGGAGGACATGCACGCTGGTGGAGACTCGGAGACCGAGGAGTCTGTGGACGCAGGGCTTGGCTTGGAGGCTGTCCTTATAGGAGCTCTGAAGTTCCTCGGGTTATAAGGATCCTCGTTTTGGCACAGAGAATTCCACAGCCTCTCGGTCTCGGAGTCGGCCTCCTCTCCATCCGAGTCTTCCTCAGATTCATCGTCGCTGTCATCCAGGTCCTCAGACTCTGAGAAGTGGGATGAGCCTTCACTGTCAAAGCCATCATCGTCATTACTGTCCCAATCGCCATCATCCTCCGATTCAGATTCGCCACTGCAAGGGCTGCCCATGATGTAAGCAATGACCTTGTTTTGACATTGAGGCGTGGCCAAAAACGGCCCGTTTTCAGCAGCCGGAACTGTTTTTGCGGTCTTCTCAGAGTCCTCTTGTTCACTTTGCTTAATTTCTTCCTCACAAATGACAGGTTCACTATGACATTCACTCTCTGTAGTGTTACTCTGAGATGGGTTGTCTTCGGCTGTTTCCGACACCTCCTGTTCCTTGGAAAGCAGCTTCATGTGAAGTTTACTACTTAAGTGTTCTTCCTCCAAGCTGGAGTAGCCATTATCTTGGTCAGGGGTCAGAACTGCCACCTCATTATAGGCTCTACTACAAACTAGTAGTTGCTGCTTAACATCTAGTGGAAGCTGGTATGAGTTGGGAAGGGATTCTGGTTTGGGCATGTGCAGGCTTGCATTGTGGGTCAGCTCTTTGGAGCACAAGGGACCAGTGCTTTCGTTGTGCATTGATGGCCCATCATTGCTACATACACACAGTTCGTTCGTCATGGCAACGGCCGCAGTCGAGCGGCTCTGACAATAGCCGACACTGTGATGTTCTCCACAATGCTGCCAGCTAGTGTCAGTCTCTTTTCTGCTTTGTGCTACATTTAGCAGCAAGTTTTGAGGTTTGTCGTCAGCCTCCCCAAATTCACCCCACCACCAGCTGTTAGTGGATCGCACGGATGCCGTATCCGGGCACAAATCGCATCCGCTTTCTGGTTTTGCGCGCCTTTTTTCCGGAGTGTTCATTAACACCTGGCTGAGCAAGTTTCTCGCCGTTCCGAGGTATCCGACCGATGCCTGCTTTTGAAGATTGAACTCTTTCTGGGTGGTGTTCTGAATTCCCAGTTCGCTCAACGAATCGTGAGTGAACCAGACTAGAGTCCCCTGATCTCTGGAGGACGCATGCGCCGAGTTTTCATGCTGGCAGTGGAGATATTCAACTCTCAAAGGGGTCAGAGAGTTTCCAATATCTAGATTTGAATTCATTTCAAATGAAGTCTTGGTTCTTCCCGGGAAATATCTCTGCAGGAGAGACCAGGCAGGCCTGGAGACCAGCGAGAACACGCTTATCCACGAGCTGTCAGTGCGCTCGTCACCGCCACGCGCGGGCCGCGTGTCCCCTTGAGGAAAGTGTTCATGTGTGCTCATACTTATGAAAAATATGAAATGCGCTGAACTACATAAACTTAACGAAAATAGAACAAACTAACACATTAATTTACTTCCTTAAGAAGTGGCAAGTTAAACACACTGTTAACTGTGACTTAATTTGCATAAAAGTGCTCCGGCTTCGAATGTCGTTTAAATGTCTCTGAATTATGATAATATACAGAACAGTTTCTAATACAACATAGATATGGCCTTATACGTTACGGCTTAGCTGGCTAACGCAGCTAGTACCAGGCTTTAATGTATGGCTAAATGTTAGCTACGAAAAACTAAAACACTCCGTTTTCTCATTTCTTTCAGCCCTTAACACCATCCATGAGTGACTTACAGATAAATATTCTCTGGGGCAAATGAAAGAGTCCATGTCGTTTAGACTGTGTTGAGTCCACGCCGGCTCGCGCGAATAGCTTCGGCGTCCATATTGACCGCAGTGTTAACGCCAACTGTGCCGTCCTGAGGAAAATAACACCAATTATTTCGGTTTGAAGGGACTGTAGAAGCAGCAGAAGGAAAGGAAAGGCATTCTGAGGTGGTGTAAGAGTAAGATAGGCTGGTATACTCCAAAGGAAAGCTTGAAACAAAAGCCATTTTGACGTTTGAGTGGAAGCGAGCGTCGGTTCTTCAACTGTCAGTCTTCTGTCACCTCAATCGAGCCCGGCTGCCGCGTTTTTCGAAAGAAAATACTGTAAGTTGTAGGAGAAAAAACGGCAGTAACATAAAAACCGAGTCAAAGCGGTGTCCTTACAAGTTACAAAAGAAGTGGTTTCACTTTTAGTTCGTTTTAAATAGTAATACTTGGTATTCAGACTCGTTGACGTCGCCGTTTTGTTCCCTAGCCGCTGAGCTAAAGCGGAGAGATTTCATCAGAAAAGCTGTAAGGGAGCGTCTCTAATTTTCAGTAGCATTACCGCGCGCTTAGGGACCGTGGTAAAATTCTGATCTCACGTGGTAAATTGATGCGTGTGTTATATAAGATGTTCAGTGCATTCCCCGAAATGCACGGCAACACATACATAAATCCCTCAGGATATTCTAAATCTTTAATGCGACGCCCTGTCAGTGCTTCTAGGTCGACTGATCTATACGAAGTCAGGGATACTTTCAGCATGAATTTGACAGATTTTTTCGCATATTTTTTTCCTTTTGTGATTTTCACTAAATATCAATATGTGGACAGTCTACTCTGGACACATAAGCCAGTCTTTATTAAAGCAGTATCGCAAGACCCCCTGCTCCCTTGTAACAGCAATCCTGGAGCGTAGGAAACCAAAAACAGAAGAAACCCCTAACTCTGGTCTAATTTATAGGTCTGTACTTTATTTATTCAGGTTTTCCTATCTATTTGATGTGAAAAAGAACTGAATTGTATTCCCAGATTGTCATAATTAAACTCAGTCTCAATGGAATGTTTTAATTTGTTACATTAACAGGGATGAATGAGAAATGTCATCAGAATTCTCTGGAGTATCAGAATAATGAGTAATGTGGAAGAACATGGACTGTTCAGACAGGCAATTAAAGCCTTGATGATAAACCTCAGTCTGATGTAATCCTTGCTTCAGTGTGATGACAGACAAAACAGCATATGGGATAAAGTCACAAGTGTCTCAGTAAACCGGATTGTTGTGGTCAGTCGTGCCCAACTGAGATTCAACATGGAATCCATGTGAATGTGCATCTAAACAAGACTTGCACAAGTTTCATCATTTGACATTGATCGTTACACCATCTTTGAGGATTATGTGGTCCAACAAAGGCAAGCTGGTAGCAAAGGCAAGAAAGACAGTATTCAAGTCAGTTTCCTTGTGCATTTATTAAGTGCAAATAAATTTTAAAAACATGGTTTGAAATTAGAAGAGAAACAATTTTTCTAGAAATGGAAAAAATGGAATAAAGCCCATTTATAATCCAGAAATCACATCAAAATTAGATTCTCAGCATTTACATGTCAACCCTATTGATTTTACGCACACATTTCTCTTTAGTTATTAAAATAAGGGTCACAGATGTTATAAAAGTTCTATACCTTTAAACCCAATCTTTTCTGCACATTCCCAACAAAAAGATTTTCAAAACAAAACGCTCAGTTTTCCATTATAGAGTTGGCATGCAATCGTACAATCATTTCCCATTAGGTTAAACCTCACACAGTAGTGCCCTTTGAAAAAAAAAAACAGTCATTCATCATTTGAAAGTAAGTACAATACTTGGAGAAAAAAAAAAAAATATCATCTGAAATTGAGCTGGTTTGTCTGGTTAGAAAAAGCCATGGAACAACAGGGACTACATTGACCTGGATAATCATATCCAAGTTTGCTTAAGGCTACTGGATGTTAGAGTACCTCGACATACAGGGTTGCACTTTCAACTTGTAGGTAATTGATTTAAAGACATGAATTCAATGAAGATTGAAAACAGTTCCTGTCATTATGCATTTTGCTAAAAACTTCAGTTTTCCTATTTTATTATTTTACACACACTAAACATCAATGCCGATTGGTTAAACTGGACAATTTTATTTGAATCAGATTAAACACAAATTTAAGGACATTTCCAATTACTTCTTTTTCCCTTCCTACCTTACTGTGAGCTATAATGTTTTTCTCAAAAATCAAACTGAGTGCAAAGTAAAGCAAATCTGAATGCAAAATATTTAAGCATACGTTTCCCAGAAAAAAAAGAAAAGAAAAAAATCTACTGTGGTATATTTAGCATTTAATTTACATGCGGTTTTACATAAAAAGGAGGAATGGAAATACTGACAGACCTACAGTCTAAAGTTTTAATTTCACTCCCCCTTTGAAAAAAAAGGGGGAAAAAATAAATTAACCAATAAAACTTGGAAAATTATGAGGTCAATGTACTTGACAAACAAATGCAAAAATGCAATATTTATCCAGTAGCAAATTTTACAGCATGCAAATCAACTATTTTCAAATAGAATTTCCCTCGTGTAGGTTATGTTTATATATCAAGGTAAAATCATCGACCCTGAAGTAAAGTCCCTTTGAAAGCCTTTTCTGTATAAAAAGTTGTGCCATCATTTCAGAAAGAAACAACTGTTAGTTGTTTATGTAAAGAAATAATCCATATTCCCCAGGGTTTGTCTCTGTTGTTCAATATACTGTACATGCAATTCATCTTTTTGTTTTTATGCACCCACCTATTTTACATGATCAAAAATCTACATTCACTCAGTTCTCTGCGTGTCATTTCCACTGCAGTGGTTATATGAAGCAAGTTAATTCCACCATGGTTTCAAGACTATCAAGTGTTCATCCCTTTTTTAATGATCAGGTAAATGCCACAGTTAATGTGAAATTACCCAACTTAACAGTACAAAAGCGGCCCTCACTATTAATTTTTAGGTAAATCTGCTAAATCTGATACAAAGAGGCATAACTAAATGTCACAAGACACAACATAGCTCAAAATTGAGCCACAATAGAGAAACATCTTAAAAAGAAAATAACTTAAATTTCCATTAGCATCCTCAAGAAAACAAAATGGGGCTTTGAAGTTTCATGGACAGCAATTTTCCAGAAATACCCCAAAAATATGGCGCATGGAAGTCATTTCATCTTTAAATATTCTTTTTGCCAATCCTTGTCACCAAATGGTTTTTGTCCCATAGTGTTACCAAGAACAGCTTCTGGTTCACACGGTGCCCCACCAGAACAGTATCAAGTGATGACACCCCATCACCGAATCTACACATCTCCTGGGTAGGAGAATCAACAAACACAAACCCCCACTGGGGGAAACAGCCTTCTGAGCAGCTGGGCATCTCCAACTCCCGACCCATAAGCAAAGACAGACAAACACATGCACACTGAAATACACAAGTGAAATCCTTCACTTCTGGGCATCCATACAAGCGCTAACGGTTTATGTCGGAGCCTCTAGTGCCAAGCTGGTGCCAGTCTACCATGCGATGACCTGGGGTGAGGTCTTTCAATTGGATGATGGTTTCACCAAGCAGGGTGTTGTCCCAGAATGCTCCCTCATTCAGTACCCGCAGGTGAATGGTTCTCTGCTGCAAATCACCACGTGGGATCTTATCATACACCAGCTGAAACAGAGACAAAGGGATGTCATTCAGGAAGATTCATAAAAGTAAAGAGTAACAGTGCCCACCCACTTTTTCCATGGCTTTGGTTCCGGAAGCATTTAAAAAAAAAAAAAAAAATCCATAGGCATAAAAAAAAAAAGTTTAAAAAAAAAAGTCTTTATTGTAGAGTTATAAGGCATGAACCAAACCAACCAGCTACAAGGTAAATCAAAACTATATTTGAAACAAAAAAATTGGACAAAAAGACAAAGGTACAAGACTAAATCAATTTTCTATTTCTCCATTGTTCAAAGAAAAACATTAAATAAATATTTCACATATTCTTCAACAAAAACATAAACCATCAATTAACCTCAAAACTCACAGTAGATCTATCTTTAAAGGTTTGCAAGTTATCGTTAAAAATAATTTCCCCCATGTAAAAAACGAATGATTTTTACTTCAGGAGCCCAACTGCTACACTCTATAGTATCATCTAATAGTGATGTTCTCTCACCATCTCATTGTAAGTGGGGTTGCATGTTCGCCGTGCTGCCTTGGTCTTTCTTTTGCTAGTTTTCTGAGGGTCTGGGAGGAGGTACAATTTGACGTATGGATCAGGATCCGTTCCCTCCTGCAAAGGTTGCTGAAGAAAAGTTCAAAACGCATCGGTGAGTGCTAACTCAACATTTGTATGTGCGTATGATTAAATGGCAGACACTCACCAAGCCTCTGATGTGCATCACCATAATGAAAAGCTTGTCGCTCTTGTACAGAATCGAGAGCTTCACTTCACCTGCCACTGTACCGGGCACAGGAGCCCAGGACACATCTGGGAAGGAGGAGGAACTGGATTTAGTGTGGAAAGGTGTGTGCGCGCGTGTACGCATCTGGCTTGCCAGGTATACTTAAGGTGAATTAAGTAAACAATCTAATTGGATTTCCAGAGCTGGAACAGGACTGGAACCTGTTGAGCAGAGACCTTTATCACAAATCAGATAAGGTAACCCACCAGATGTTATGGCTGCCACAGTGCAGCTTTTACTCATGATGACTTTCAATATTTAACTAGTTGTGATATTACTCATGATGACTTTCAATATTTAACTAGTTGTGATAAACTCTCAGGGTTTGATCTATGGAAGTGTTTACAAAATGTCTGATGCAGGCCCGGCGCCAGGGAGGGGGTGGGGGGGAGGGGTCAGATTTAATTTTGGTCGCTGTCCCCACGGAGAAACACAAATGCCTGGTTATTTTCCATAGACCAGCAAATAAGAGGATTCTCTTGCGAGGGAATACTTTCCTAAATATAAAAGGCAGATATACAGTATAATTTTTATGTATAAACTACCATTTTTACTGTGCGAGCAAACAGCAAGATATTATAAAAATGGCATGCTGTTCACAAAATTAAATTGGCTTTTAATATTGTCATTGTACCCAAAAGAATATTAATTAAAATAATATCTTGAAAATATTTACTTGGTTGACAGCACATCTTTAAAAAAAAACAAAAAACATTTTATTTATTTATTCAAATTTTAAGGGTACTGTTAGATATATAAAGCTTAAGAGCAAATAAACCAAGACCGTCAATTGAATAAAATAATTCATCTCAATCTCAGTGTCAGAGTGCATAAAGTTTTGTGATTGCAGGCACATTACACTATTAAAGATAAGACCCTGGATAAGCACTGTGTGTGTCACTTAGTCACAATCACATGGACTGCAGCTGATTGGCCCAAATAGACATTCCCTTTACACTAACTCATGAAGATTTGCTGTGATGGCAGGATGAACTGCATGAACTTTGAGTCCATCATATACA